CCGTTGTTTGGTTACCAACGTTCTTCAAAATACCTTTTTTTGTGAGTAAGAAAGAAACAATGACAGGCTTAGAACGATATTAGGGTGAAAAATTTTTTCATTTTTTTGGACGAACTATCTCTTTATACATTTAAACATCAGAAAAGAACAAAACACCCACTGATCACACATGTGGTGCTGATTTGCAGACGTCACAGCGATCATCTTTGTGGTAGCGAGCAGCAGCTATAACATGGTCTTAAGGGAAGACAACAACACGAACAGGCTACGGGAAGCACTTGCTCTTTTTCGCAGTATCTGGAACAACAGGTGATGCCTTTGTTTTCTTATTCGTAATATATAACTTGCTTATAAAGTGTAAGTGCAGGCTTTACTGACCCCCGTCTCTGTGTGTGTGTGTGTCTTTATTTCTTCTTTTCACAGATGGTTACGGACCATTTCTGTCATATTGTTCCTAAACAAACAAGACATGCTGGCAGAGAAAGTATTAGCTGGGAAATCCAAAATTGAAGATTATTTCCCTGAATATGCTTCTTACACCTTACCTGATAAAGGTTCGACTTTTCACCCACTGATCAAAACCCAGTAGTTCTCAAATACTGTAGTACTAAAGTTTTAGTTGTTAGTTGGCAAATAATGGACGTGATCTATTTTTTGGTTAAAGGAAATATGAAAATACTGTCATGAAAAGGTGCACAAGCTCAATAAATATATCAATCATAAAAGTAGTCCATATGACTTGTGCACTATATTTGTGTGAGTTGAACTGGAGATTCAGATCTGTCAAATTCAAAATCATTTGGTATTGTGAACTGGATTCATGTGCAGGTCAGTGTCAGCTTCTTTGTATGTTCATCTGTCGAGTCTTTTCTATCTTTCAGTAACTCCTGAACCCGGTGAACACCCCAGAGTGACGAGAGCCAAGTATTTCATTCGTGACGAGTTTTTGGTTAGTATTTTCATTTTGTAATACACCGATGAAACACGGCAACTATTGCAGTCAGATTTTAGACTGTTGTGATTTTCCTTTTCTATTATGAAATGATGGGCAGTTTGTAGACGACTAGATATTGACCAATGTTTGATTTTGCCAACATTTTTGACCAATATTTACTCTTTTCTATTTAAATAAGTAAACCAATAATTGGCGCCATCCTGTGGCTCTCTAAAGAATAAATATTTGCCATGTACTTTCATTTTCAGCAATCATTTTTTAGTGTATATATTATATGTATGAGAACACAGCGTTAAATTGTTCAATTATTGAAATATTTAAGATTTATTAATCACAATGATTACACTAGTTACAGTATATATTTAGTTTTAAGTAAAATCAGCAAAGACAGTGCAAAAGAAAGATTGTTGTCTTGCCATTATTTCATGTACCTTTTTAACTCATTACACTCAATTCAGACTTTAAAGACTCACTAAATATAATTTTGCTGGAGATTCGTCGGAATATTGGCTGGTTGTTTTCTTCAAGACACTGTAATTTAAACCTTTCTTATAACGAGGTTTAACACTGTAATTTAAACCTTGCCTTTTAAAAAAGCATATAATTTTTTCCCACTTCTGTCTGAAGTGTTAAGTTCATAGCACATTTCCAGAAGAATCCATTTAAGATATATATTTAGTTCCTTAAATTTTAACTACAAAAAATAGGTGATTAATCATGAAAAACTGGTTGTAATCATTTGAAATCCCTCATTTTCACCCTGTCTTTTCGCAGAGGATCAGTACAGAAAGCGGAGACGGCCGTCACTACTGTTACCCCCATTTCACATGTGCAGTGGACACGGAAAACATCCGCCGGGTCTTCAACGACTGCCGAGACATCATCCAGAGAATGCACCTGCGGCAGTACGAACTCTTGTGATCTCACTTCAGCTCTTTACAAACGTGTCTCCAAACTCCCCCTGCCCTCATAACTCACGAGGCCAAAACCGCAGACGAATATACTACTGACGTTTGGCGCACCACCCTTCGGTTTTTAGGTGTTTTATTTTAACTCATGATTCGGAGCGGAGAGGCTCGCTGGATTTTCCCCCCCCACGTTTTTATTCGAATCGCCTTTATTTTTGCCATTCCATGAAGCCTCTGGCTACCTCCTTATTTTTTATTCAAATAAAAAATGATATCGTCGTGTGTATATATATGTATACGTGCTGGCGCCTGGCAGATTATGAAGATCGCATCACCTTGTGACCTCCAGGAGTCCTAGTCTCGCACCCCGAACCTTGATCTTCTGGCCTACAGGGCTCTCTGCTGCTCTTTCTGTTTCTGAACACTGAAGATCGCCCGCGGACTGGGACGGGGAGGCGGGCCGGGGGTTGTCGAACACTGGGGAAGCGAAGTGAAGTAATGCACTTTTCCATCAGGTTTTGACTGACGGTTTTCTTTACGAAGATGGACACACAATGTAGCATCAAATCATGAATTCCTGTCCCACTTAAGGCTGTGGACAGGTCAGAGAATGGCGGGGATGACCACGCCCCTTTTTATGCGAAAGAGGCGGAGCCTTTGAAACAAGGAGGAGGGGCTCTGTGAAGAGGCGGAGCCTTTGAAGTGAGGAGGAGGAGGGGCTACGGGAACATTGCTAAGGCCTCGGTTTGGTTTTGGGAACATGATGGCGAAACATCCTCGAAAAGAAACGCCCCATTTCTAATTTTAGTTTCTTAACTTGTACAGACTGTGCAAAGGTGATTTTTTTTTTTCCTTTCATGTACAGACTATAAAATGTTATATTATTTTGTACAACTTTATTGAAAGAGAGTAAAAAATCTACTTGTAGATCTTTGTGCCTTGATTATGGCTGTACCTGTAAATGAAGCTGATACATATGTTTTTGACTGCGCTGTACAGCTTGATGTCACCCCTGTCGGCAGAAGGGACTGTGGATGGGGACCTACTCTGTAGAGTTTAGTTTCTTTTTTTTGGTTATTTGTTTGTTTTTCTGCTTTGTTTATATAAAAAGAGAAAAAGTTCTTTATTAAAAAAAAAATAAATATAGGAAAGAAAAATCTTAACCTGTATACATTATGCAAATTGACCCCCTTACCTGCGGTTATGATCGGACGAAACGGCACCATGCCTTTCTCGTTTTGCGTTTTGTTTTCCGTTTCATTTCAATTCTCAGCTTTAAAAACAGAAAAATTGAAAGAGAAAAAAAAAAAAGTTGGAAATGTCCAAAATCACAACCTGGTGTTGTTTTCAAAGACCTTTTTGGATATGAAGTATGTTTGAGATATATATCCACGTTTGTGTCTGTGAGTGCGTGTGTGTTCACGTACAGGAGACAAACATTGAGCCACAGACGCATGACATTTGTATGTGTTTTGTGAGAGTGTGCGCGCGCGCGCGTGTGTGTGCAAGAGTGCATTGTGTGCACTCTTTTATAAATGTGCGTACATGTAAATTTATAGGTCTATATAAATATATATGTACAATTCTACATGTTTAATTATGTGTGTGTTGGCGTATACATACTTTAGTATGTATACAGTGAAGATGTGTACTTACACACATAGGTAAGCATGTCTAGAGTGAAATGAATAAATGAGAGTGCAATATTAAAAGCAACTGTGCGTGTCCGACGATTTTCACCATACTCCATACAAACTGAAAGTTTTATTTTTTATTTTTTACTATCATTTCTTTAATATCAATGTTATGTGATATCAGTTTATAATTGGACAGAAGTCTGATTTATAATACACACATCCAAATATACTCTTATTTTGTAAAGCAGAACTTCAAGATGTACATTTTTATTTATATTTATTCAAGTTTTTTTTTTTTCTTTTATCTGCTGAACACCCTTGGCGGTCCTAATTTATTTTGCTTTTACCAAAACTTTTCAAACCATGTGATCCACAAAACAATACAAATTATGTTACACGTGCAAATTTTGGTTGACACAAAATTTGTGTTTGTATTTAAAGTTCAAACACATTTAATATATATATATATATATATATTAGTATTACTCCAGTAAATCGCAAATCTTTTTAAATCTGTAAATACTATGTGCTTAAAGTCATGTTGCACAAGAAATACTTTTTAAAATAAATCTTCTAAAGTCATTAAATAGATTTTGTGTTATGGTTCTTAAGTCTTAAGATCTCCCACAGCTATTCCTTTGTCAGTCTACAAAACCCCATACATTCACATTGCAACACTAAAATGCTGACCACATTGAATAGTCTTCAGTGCAAGATGACATATTCAAGATTTCTGATACATTAACATAGACCTCAGATTCAACAAGCCACAGTGTATTACACCAAAAAACAACTCATGCAATCAACTTGACAGAAAAAGTTGATTTGGCTTTTTAGATGTTGAAAAACACTCAAATATATATATGTATGTATTGCTCAGGTACATTAATTCCATACAGCACATAAATTACATTCAGATAAAATCTTATTTTTGGAGCCCAAATTTGGATTTCTTGACATACACAAACACCCTCTTATTTCTTTAAGTGTTTCTTAGTACAGGGATTCTCAGAAGGTCCAATTTACTACAGAGTGTAGGTCCTACTCCAATCCAACACACCTGAACAAGCAAATCAAGGTCTTTCTAGAAAGTTACAGAAAGGTGAGTTTGATCAAGGTTGGAGCTAAAGGTTGAGAACCTCTGCTTTAGACCAATGGATTAGACCAACGGTGTCCAAACTTGTTCCTGAAGGGACACTTGTCCTGCAGAGTTTAGCTCCAACCCTAATTAAACACACCTGAACCTGATATTTAAGGTCTTCAGACTTACTAGAACAGGGGTGTCCAATCCTGCTCCTGGAGGGCTGGTGTCCTGCAAAGTTTAGCTCCAACCCCAATAAACACGCCTGAAGCAGCTAATCAAGCTCTTACTAGGCATACTAGAAACTTCCAAGCAGGTGTGTTGATGCAAGTTGGAGCTAAACTCTGCAGGACACCGGCCCTCCAGGACCGAGTTTGGACACCCCTGTACAAGAAACTTCCAGGCAACTGTGTTGGAGCTGGTTGAAGCTAAACTCTGCAGGACGTTGGTCCTCCAGGGCCAGGACTGGACACCCCTGCTTTAGACGAAAGACAGCTTTACTGTCCATATTTGCACATTCATGTTGTATCAGACTTGCCGTTCCGAAGCACAGCTGCACATTTGCTCACGGGAACTCAAGAAATTAGAAAGTCTTCATTAGGTCATTGAGTTTGGCAAGCGAATCCTTTGCCTCAACATGGAATGATCTGCTGTTAGAAGAAGCTTCACTATTGAATTACACTCCCAGATCGCAAGATTTTACAGAAGCGTTCCCATTTAAGACTAGGCCTACTTGTATGTTCCTGATTTTGCATGCTGGAAACAAGCATCAGAGAATCTATCCTGAGTGGTTTCCTCTCGGTTACTGCTTTTCAAATGGCTTCTTCTTGCTGATCTGAAGAGTGACCTGTCCGGTTGGCGTGTAGCTGCGGGTTTGTGCGGAAACCTGTGTTTTGAAGCTCTGCAGACCTCCTTCCTTTCCTCTCTGGACCTCGGAGCAGTACGTCGGCTGGACTTCAAGCCTCGCAAAGCTACTGGTATGGCGTGAATAGTTGGATGAAGGTTGTCCCGTCACATGAATAGGTATGGTTTTCTCTCGCCTTGCCTGAGAGCTGCCGCTCGCCGATGAACCTGGACTAAACATGCTGGAAATGTGATCCTTGAAGGACCCAAAGAATCCCATGCGAGGCTTTGCTGGTGGCACCGGACGTACCACGTTCAACACAATGGGTTTGCCAATGACAGGCTCGTTAATTTCTCTCTGCAACACTGAGATCTCACTTGGTTTCTCGACGAGGACATGCTGGTCTGTACCGCTGCCAAAAGTTTCCCCTTCCTGAGGGACGTAGTCCTCGAGATCTTCAAGAGTAAGAACTCGATTCCCATCAGTCAGCATTTTGCGGTCTCGAGCATCAAGTTCGTCAACTTCAGGTTCCACAACAATAGTTCCTTCATCATCTCCATCAGAGACACATGGGTCATCCATTTCTCCTGAGTATGTTGTCATATTGTCGACCTCTGAAGGTACTTCAGACACATTCTGTGCAATTTCCTCTTCATCCGTACCAGAAGAACCTTGCAGAGCCATTGCGGCACCCATTGCCTCCTCAAGTAACTTGTTGTTGGAGTTATTAGTGTTTGGATTGCCAGGTGGTGAGAACTTGCTGGGGGAAACGCCTCTTCTTCTTGGTAACTTGGGTGATTTGTTCACTTTATACTCGATTATCTCTTCGACTTCTACCCATCTTGGGTTCCTGGCCGTGGCACCCTCCGGCTCTGGAACGTACAGTGTCGGTACAGTCTTCCTGGCCAGGGTTCGTCTCTGTCTGGGCTGTTCGGGTGTGGACGTCTCGGAGCGGTGAGCTCCCATGGGCGATGGTCGTGGGGATGCGTGCCGTTTCATACGGGTGTTCTTCACCACTGTGGTGATGGTCTCCTCACTTGAAGAGGAAAAAGCACATTAGAAGCACATTAAAAGCACATCAGCTTCAGGTTGGTAAGTTTTTGAAAGAAGTCTCTTATGCTCACCAAGGCTGCATTTATTTGATCAAAAATACAGTAAAAACAGTAATGTGAAATATTATGATTAAATAATTTTCTCTGTTAATATTTTAATATTTTATGCATTCCTGTAATAGAAAGCTGAATTTTCAGCATCATTACGCCAGTCTTCAGTCTCACATGATCCTTCAGAAATCATTGTTCTGCTTAGTATTTTTCTGGAAACTAATATATTTTTTCAGGATTCTGCGATGAGTAGAAAGTTCTAACGAACAGCATTTAATAAAAAATATTGTGTAACAATGTAAGTGCCTTACTGTCACTTTTGATCAATGTAATGCGTCCTTACTGAATAAAATTATTAACTTTTGAATAGTAGTGTATTCAATTTGTGCTTAGGTGTGTGTGTGTATATGAGACTTACATAATTATGGTTTTCTTCGGTATTTTCGTCTCTTGTTCCGTTACTAGTTGAAAAAACAATAAAAACGGTAAAAATTGTAACATCTTTTAAAAACATTAAATTATTTTCAGTTATCAAATTTCAGTCAAAGAGGTACAAACATGATGCTTAAATATGAAAAATACATTCCTAAATTCTAAATATAAGTGAATGCACTTAACAAAATATACTTTTCTTATTTTCTGGACCTGATCATTTCTAAAACCATCTTACATTAAAACCAATAAATAGTGTATCAGGATGTATACTTTTTTTTTAATTGAATGCATTTTTAGTTTTCAGTAAGTAATGTCATAACCAGTGTTGGGGAAAGTTACTTTTAAAAGTAATGCATTACAATATTGCATTACTTCTTGTTTGCTTTTAATATAAAAAGTTCTATTTTTGGCAAATGTAAAAGCCCTTTCACACCAAAAGCCTCAGGCTGAAGGAAATGTAAATTCACGTCTGTACAGAAGAACACCGAAGAAGAAAGTTCAACACTCTTCAGCAATAAAAAAAAAAAAAGAAATGTTAGTTTATCTTGTGTAATTTTTGCTTATTAGTATGGTTGAATTGGATCACCGTAGGTCACCAGCAAATTGGTTAATAAAATGGGATTAAATACATAAAGGATATTTGTATTATTTAACATATTTAATTATTGCAGCTTTGAGCCATATTCTGAGTTGCTTTTAACTGTTTTTATTAATTTTGAGGAAAACTAAATCCGATTTTTTTTTTGTGAGTGAGTGAGATGAATTAATGCATGTTCACATTTATTCTAGTGATTACGTAACTCGCGTTACTTGTAATGCGTTACCCCCAACACTGGTCATAACAGATGCCACCCAGTTAAAAATCATTCCCATATATGTATTGACAGGCATCTCTTTTACCTTCTATACTGATGGCCTGATCTGCTCTACGTTCTCCCGCCATTGCCACAGCAGGAGTGATCAGCTGTGCCGCACACCTGGCACTGCCCAGACGGTTTGACAGCTGCAAATGAATAACATGATGATAAGGCTTATTTCTTTAGGGTTGGAGTAAAGTAAGAACTGAAAGGACTAATGTAACAATCTCCATACCTCACACTCATAGTGTCCAAGGTCTCGTTCTCCAGGGTTCTTGATAACTAGAACCAACACTCCACTGCGCGGTTCACTGTATGTTTGAAACTTCTCCAGGTCTGTCAGTAGTTTACCATCCTTAAACCATCTGTCAAGGGAAATGGCATAGTTTAACATTAACTCAATTCAATTTGAGTTAAAATGAGTTAAAACTGTTGGGTTGTTGGAAGTTATTTATGGAATGCATTGATTTGAATATTATAATATGAATCACCCAGATCTTCTGGGCCATTTTGACTCATTATTTAAACATGGAAATAATATAAATGATAGTGTAAATGGAATGACTACCTTATCTTGGGACTCGGTGCGCTCTGGATGGTGCAGGTGAACTGTGCATCTTCTCCTGGATAAAGGGTGGCATTCCGGATCTTATTCACAAAACGTGGAGGTACTGCAAAAGGTTAAATAAAGATTAGCAGGAATGAAATGGAGTAAAACCAGCTTTACTAAGTTGGAAACATCAGGTTGCTCACTCACCCTGCACAGTGATTTTGCCTAGTGTGCTGGCGTTGCCCGCAGAGCTGGTGGCGAAGCACATGTATTGTCCTGAGTCGTCTGCTGTCATGTTGTCCAAAATGAGTGTGCAAGAGCCGTCTGGGTCCTCAATGATGATGTGATGAGGATCCGCTTCCACGGCACGCCCGTCTGTTTGTGAAACAGATGGATGAATTACTTTACTTCTAAGAAGACATCAAGAAGGGAAACACCTAAGATTTGGTTCCTTACCTTTGTACCAGGTGACCTGTGGTTTGGGGGCACCAGTGACCTTGCAGGCGAGCTTTACTGTCTGTCCGAGCTCTGCTGTGCAGTCCGTCAACACCGCGTCAAAATCTGGAGGGCCTGTAACATAAGTAAAATGCTAAATATTAGGACTAGGGTTTATTTTTATTGTAGTATTTAAGAACATGACATTGTATTTAGGAGAACTGATATCTCTTAAAGGGATAGCTCACCCAAAAATGAAAATTCTGGCATTAATTACCCTCATGTCGTTCCAAACCCATAAGACCTTCGTTCATCTTCGGAACACAAGTTAAGACATTTTGATGGAATCTGAGAGCTCTCTGACCCGCCACAGACAGCAAGGATACTACCGCGATCAACGCACAGAAACGTAGCAAGGACATCGGTAAAATAATCCATGATCAGGGGTTGGTTCAACCGTAATTTTACAAAGCTACGAGAATACTTTTTGTGCGCAAAGAAAACAATAATAACATAACTTATTCAACAATTCTTCTCCCCGAGTTACCGTCTTTCGCCATTTTAGAAAGTACCCCAGAACATAATCAGCGTTGTTTACATTCAGCGTAAACAGCGTGGTTTACGTTCGTTTTTGCATATTAAAGCGTCTTTGGTTTTTCCATGTTTTCTACAAAACAAAACCGGAAATTGAGGGGTTATGACGTCATTGGCAGGCGACACAATGACACTATGGACACGGTCCGTGTCACTAGTTAAAATTGCTTATTTCTCTGGATTTAAACATTCTTTGAAACATTTGGGATAATGTAAGTACACAAGTCAGCAAAATATATAACACTGTTCTAGTGGTTTTTGGATATTTTAATAAAAAAATCTTACATATTGTGCCTTTAAGTGGAGTGTGTTTTCTCTTTTTGCCTCTTGCTGCAGGAATGACGTATTTTTGTAGGCCAAAAACCAATAAACAGTAGCATTTTAAAAATGTTTTTTTGGTTAAATGCCTGAAATAAGCTCAAGATATTTTCACATTTTATTCTATGACATAAAATACATCAGTAATTAAAAAAGTGATTTTTTTTTTGTAAAGCATTTACTGATCTTTAAAAAGGCAGTTGTGGCTAAATGGGACTACAGAAGGAGTTGAGGACATTAATCACACCAGACAGGTAAATTCATCTACACACTAGTCCACTTTTACAGCTTCATTGTGTTTATTATCATGCTATTGCAAACTATTCTAACTCAGACTTTCCAACATACAGATTTTAAACAAAGTTTAAAAGAGTTATTGGAAGCTCAGTGGTGTTGTTCATTTTTAGCTTAACATTTTATTTTGGCAATTGTATTAGGCCAAATACAATTGCCAAAATAAAAACGTATTAATTTATGATAATAATCATGATGAACAAAATGTGTAAGATTCATAAACTTTTGTTGGTCCCAGAGCTTATTTTCTGCAATAATTCAGTTAGCCAATGGAAAAATCCTTTTGGGTTTTTGTCAAGGGAACCAGGCTGATGCTAACATGCTATATCATGCTAATGCTGGAGACTTACTCCATGCTGGCATGCTGTAGCGCTGCTGAAGGTCACGGAGGTCGCGGAGCCATGAGTTCTTGATGACAACAGTCCGTGCCTGCAACGTGTATTTTCTCACTGAGTCCTCACGCTCATGCCAGATCTCAAACGCTCTTTCATCACCCTCCACCGTCTCATTCACATCAATGTTTGTAAGCTAAAGAAAAAACACATTATTTTATAATCCATTAGATTTTTATAAACAATATTATCATATAAGTGAAGCTATGTGGCAAACCAGTAATTAAGAAATCCCTGTGAAGACAGTATTTGGCCATTTTAAATGATCAGCATTGGCCTTAGTAAATTTTGTGTTAAATACAGTATGTGCATAACTTAATTTCTGTCATTTAAAAGCTTCTGCAAAGCTCCAACCTTCATCATATTCTTGAACACATATGCTTGGGTGTCTGTGTTCGTGTCTCTCTTCTGTTTGCAGATGACCACATGGTTTTTGAAGAGGAAAATGTGGCGGTGGTGACCTCTGGAAGATGTTCGAATTCCAGGAGCTCCTTCCCAAACAGTGAAGGGCCCCTGTAGAAAAATTAATTTTACACTGTAATTTTAAAAGTTTTAAAATTTACTACAAATAGGTGAAACAGGTAAGACCTTAAATGGTGACATTTGAGTTAGGGACTGTACCTGTCTAATAGGTTCTCCCAGTGCCTCCAGATTGGCGGGGTAGTTCTCTATGAGAGAGACATGGTGTGTGTTTTCTGAGCGCTGGGAGAGGGATGACACCATGGCATAGGCCTGCTCCAACAAACAGCAGTTTTGACCGTTCCTCGCCTTGTTCCGGATCAATTCCTGTGATTCCAAGTGAAATTTGGAAATGTGTTGGTCACTTTCAAAAGTTAGTGAAGAGTTGTATCACATAATACATAACACAATTTCTAAGCACATATTTATGTAAATATTTATTTGAAATTGGAGATTGCCTACACCTAGACCTTGAAAAATTTGTATTGTGGTATTTATTATTATTTATTACCTTCAGTAAAGCTCTGTACTTCTGAATTCTCTCCGGTGGTCTCTGAAGGTAAGCGTTGATGCTTAGCACTGGACCCTCTGAGGGGTCAACATTTGCCAACTCCGAGACTGTATAATCCTAATGAAAAAATACATGAAGCATGTTATGTTCTGTGTCTGAGTACCAAATTCTTTCAGTTTAAAGTAGTGCAGTCAAACGATTAATCGCGATTAATCGCATCCAAAATAAGTTTGTTTACATAATATATGCGTGTATGCTGTGTATATTTATTATGTATATATAAACACACACACATACAGTATATATTTTGAAAATATTTCCATGTATATATTTATATTCATATAATTCATATTATATACAAATATTTTAAATGTATAAACATAACATATTTTTCTTAAATATATACATGCATGTGTGTGTGTATTTATATATACATAAAAAATATACACAGTACACACACATATATCATGTAAACAAAAACTTTTAGATTAATCGCCATTAATCGTTTGACAGCACTAGACTTTAAAGACAAAAAAGATCAAATGTCGTTTTTTTCTAATGCAAATTTTATGCCCCCTGAAAACCATAACTATACGGTCAATATTTTGTAAACCCACCTTGAAATATTGGTGCACTTCTTTCTCACTGATGACGGACTCAGCTTGCAATTGTCCAATGAGGTACTGCAAATATTTCTCAAACCCTTCAGAGTTTCTCAGGAAATGCATGGCAATGTCATCATCCGTGTCACAATCACGCAGACCAGGCAGCAAAGTACTGAAAAACAGTCAGCCTCATTATGCATTTCCCTGTTGTCAGATTCCATATGTCAAGACTAGCACATAAATTAAAACAATCCTTATACTCCTTAAAAATGAAAATAGTTGATGCAGAGTTGTAGAATTAACCATAATATTTGATTGTCTGAACTCTGTACCTGCTGTGGAAGGATTTCAAATCATTGATATTACGGAAGATGGCTTCCTTCTGGCTGGTGATTTCAGATGGTGTGCTCTCTTCATCCACACGATTCAGATGGTGTGATGCGAAGAACTCCATCTCCTTCAGAAACTCAGTTTCTGTGCTAATCAGCTCCTGGACGAGTAGACTAGATACAAGTGAAACCCAGGTAGAATTACTGAAGTAGTACAAAATAAAATGCACATTGCACTTTTAATAAAATGTCCAAATTTACCAGAGTTTTTTCTTGTACTCTGTCTTTGTGACTTCTTCTCTGGTGGTCTCTGGGAGGTCTGCAACATCTGCAGACAGCTACAACACAACCATTCCATCATCAGAGAGAAATTATAAGATGCACAAGCAAATGCACAAATTGTTAAAATCAATATTTCACCACTACATGACCAGTTATCCATTTTGAATGATCCTAAACTGACCTTCAGTCTTTTGTCGAGATACGCAGGCGAGACCCATCCCTGGCGAGATGGATTGGATTTGGTGGGCTTGGTGCGGACCAGCCATTTAAGTGGGTGGGCAGAATCCAGAACCTCCACATACTGGCCCTCTTTCAGAGCGATGACATCTTTGCTGACTCCCATGGGGTTGTAGTCAGCGGTCACCACATAGATATCAAATATCTGCACAGATTCATTGAGACAACAGAGCATTTGGAAAAGGTGACTTGCCCTCTTCCCCCTTTAGAATATGAGAAAGCTCTGGATTCTGCTTTTAAATATCCTTCTGTGAACTGAAGATTAACCAGATGCTTAACTTACCTAAAAAATAATATGAACTACAGAATTATGATACTAACATTACACGTCTATTTTTATTTCCCCTTTTTCAATAACTGGTAAATGAATGTATTAAAAAATTGTCTGAAAATTCTTATGTGAACAGAATAGCAACAGGTTTGACACAATACATTAGTTATAATATTAAAATGACTTTGCTGATGACACCGAGAATGTGTTATTTCTAATACCTCTCCCCTGGCATCTCCTTCATCTGACTCAGATGATGAGTCTGCGATCAGAGATGGAGGGCGTGATCGGCCGTGATATGGAGATGGGGACTGTGTTTTTGTTTCATCATCGCTGTCAGCTCCTGGGACACGTAATGAAGCTTGAGGCAGACAGGGACCAAAAGGATAGAGGAAGAAAGAGGTATCGTGTCAATTAATTATGGCCACAACAATATTTAAATATCATGTCTAACAGCATGGGCTTTAGCATCACATTTGCATAGGACTTCAATACATTTGCTCAGATTATGGTATTCAGTTAAAAAGTCAGCAGATGCATATTCAGAATGTAATTTGAAAATATAAATCTGGACATGAAATTTAATGATAATAATAATAATAATAATAAATAGCAAAAATAGGTACCCCAAATTTTATATTGTAAGCAAACATTTATTATTTATAATTTATTTATTATAGGCTAGTACACTGTACACATCTTTAACATATGTACTTCCGAATTTGGTTTAAATGGTCTTCATTATATAAACTTGATATAGGCCTAATATTAACAACCTTAGCAATGGTGTTTGTGTGGTAATTTAGACATGATATATCTTTACAACAGTTGTTCCCCAACTGCAGCACGCGGACATACGGGGGTCTTAAAAAATAACAATAAAATATAATAATTTTAAGAGTTTATTTCTTTATAAAATTTACATATTTGACATATGCTGCTAGCTGATGTGAGTCATCAGTGTTACTAAAGTAAACAGTTTAATGTAACTACTGCCGTTCGAAGAATCGCCTGCGTACATTTAAATCTCGCGATGACAGATGCTTCCGCTGTGAAAGCCGCCGTTTTAAAAAATACCGCGAATTGACTGAACAGACTTTTATTAAGGCTACGGTAACCTCCGTACTAAAACTATCGCAAAAACGTGCATTTGCTTAAAAGTCAGACAGCCCGAAAAGATACAAAATGGTGGTAATATGGATTTGCAAATTATCTCTCCAAAATGGATGGTGAGAATGATTTATGAGGAAAACTGTCCCAGTTTCGATAACCTAAACTAAAGAGAAGGTAAGCAGCAATAATCGTTTGTATTTAGCCTACAATTCAAATGTGTAAGTATCTTCGCTTCCAATAAGTGTAAATTGGTTTATTTGGTTTATTACCTGTAAAATGTGATTGTGTTTCAAGCTATTACCATATTTAGGCGAGACAGGGTGGTGGGGGTCCATGATAAATTGATGGGTCCATGATAATAATTTGAATAAGACATAAAGAGTGATGGTAGTTTGAAAAGTTTGGGATCCACTGGATTTAAAATACAGTTTCTAAATAAGAGGTAATAGAATTGTGTTATTTTACAAACTAAAGTTCATTCATTCATCCATCCATTGATCATTTTGAGCATATTTTAGAGAATATTCACCAGACAAGCTTTTTCCATTGCTTTTGTAGAAGCAGAGAAATGATGCAAAACAAGTTACAAAAAATGCATATATTTGACAATGATTTGAGCTCACTACTTGTAAGGTCCACTATCAGTTACTTTTTAATCATCTATGACTCAGGCTATAATAACTAATACTGTACTTTATTATATTTCTCCTGTGATTTAACATGCACTATATCATGCTTGTGCAAAAATAAAATTGTGCCCACACAAACACTAATGTAGGCCTATTGCTCATGCGTTCATCCATTTTCTTTGTATATACTGAAACAGAGACACCTTGAAAGTGTAAAAATGAGACCGTCTGCATCCACTGAATTTCAGAATGTCCAGTTTATTTTGAATTGTGACAAATGGCCCTGATTTTAAAGAACCATGACTTTATTACCACTAGGCAATACTTGAAGCATTTTTAACATTATTAAAGATCTTGAAGTTTTATGCCTTTTTAAAAAAGGTTGAGAGCCAAAGAAACAAGCAAAGTGATTAACAACAGCATAGCCTCATGGAGAAAAAGTCAAGGTTCTGGTGTGTTACACTGGAGGTTCTGCGGATACATACTGGTTACTTTGGGCCAAGATTTCATCCACTGGAGCACTTGATGGTTCTGTAAGCTGTCTGAACAAATCAATGCTTCAATGAGAATGTGAGTGAATAGAGGGATGGATAGATAGTTTGATGGATAGACAAAAGAATGGAGTCAGTGAGCTGTGTAGGAATTGAGGGATCCAGAGATACGTATTTTTTGTTTTTATTTTTTTAAATATAAAACAGAAGGGAAGTTAAGGAATCTACACAGAATGTGTTCATTAAAAATTTCCAGAGTATAATTAATTATTTAAAACAGTGAATTTGCAACAGGTGTACTCCATTTCAGTACTTAGTACATCCTGTGGCATAAATTCAAACATCTGAGCACACACTAAACTCATTCAAAAACAGTGCACACTGTTTTGCGTGAATATTAGGATGCATCTGTTGAAAAAGACTACATTAGCAAGATAAATAGTTATTAATAGTGCAAAATGACAAAATTTACAAATCAAGAAGGCTAATTTAATAAAAGTTAGTACAGTATAAATACTATGGTACATATATTTATTAGTGCTGTGTTCAAAATATCGATACGACGATGTATCGTCACAGAGATTTGACGATACGAGTATCGATACAGCTGGCCCTGTTGGTACAGTTATGGAGGCCCTTCATAATGCAGAGGTCAACTGCTTGCTCTGCCAATAGTTAGAAATGGCACTATAGTAAGCAGTGTTTAATAAACAGCTGTTTTTCTAAATTCTGCTGAGGTGAAATTCAGTGCAGTCCGTATCGTGATACGTATCGTATCGTGGCCTCTGTATCGTGATACGTATCGTATCGTGACTTTGCTGGTGATACACAGCCCTAATATTTATACATGTTGTAATTCAGTCCGGCAGTGCAGATTCTAAAAATATTTTGCTCTATATTATTGACTGAAAAAAAGCAAAAAAAAAAAGAAAAAAATTGTTTTCTCTTACCTTGAGTAATCCTGGCAGATACCATTTCTGTGATTTGGGTTGTGAGTTTTTGTAAGAACTCCTCTGTACCCACTTCACCCAAGGAAGGTAGTTTGATCTCTCCTGAGATGTGATCACAGTAATCATTTGTATTGTTGCAGAGTATTTGACAAATACATGATCATGGCAGTCGCTCACTCTGATATAATCTGACAGTGCATTGATAGTAAACAAAAGTAGTTCAAAAAATAATAAAAATAGAACATCAATATCAAATATTCACCTTTGCCCTCTTCCTCTGGTGGACTGATAGTAATTCCCAGAACCCTGGAGAAAAAAACATTCTAAATCTCTAAAACTTTCAAATGTTTAGATGAATAAAAGTATCTAAACTGACAGCTGTAAGCTTTTATATTTAAACTTACTCTGGCCCCACTTTCTTTTGCTCTGGTGCTGTTGGACAGAAAAGTAAGCATGGTGAAAAGACTACACATACAGTACCAGCCAAAATCTTGGTAAAATAATATTTAAAAGTCACATGATTCTGACATCACTACGGTCAATAACTGAACCACGAGTTCCTGACCTGTCTCCACATCCAGTCGGGCTGTGTTGACTGACTGTCCAGCACGGTTGGTGGCGATGCAAGTGTACATGCCGCCATGTTTTTTTTCCACTTCCATGAGGATGAGACTATGTTGACGGCCAGAGCTGGCCACCTTGTAACCTGGTGTGTCTGCCTTTATCCACAGAACATCTTTATCTGACACTTCCTTTAACCAGTTTACAGATGGGTTTGGGGAGCCTTTGGAAGACAGTAACTTAGTTTTACATATTTCACCTTTTGTAATATGCAACTGAACGTTATGCTTAATGCTTTTGTCTACTTCTCAAAATTGCATCTAAAGTAATTTTCTTGGTATTTAATTTATTGTGGTAACACACCATACCTTCCACTTTGACTGACAGCGTTATACTTGCTCCCTGTTTCACCTTCTTGTTGCTGAACCTCTCCAGGAAGCGTGGTGGCACAAGTGGCACCTTTGAATCTATTTGTGGAAAAACACAAGTGGCGTAGCAAATTACATGCATGCATAATCTTTCATATCAATACTTTACATTTCAAAACGCATTTGCATCTTACATCATGTGGAACAATGATTCATAATCACACGTGCTGTATGCAAGATAGATGCTTACCTCTCATTCGTCCCTGTTCAGGTGCGGGGCGCTCTCCAGGAGCTAATTAGTGAAAGTAAACAAAGAAACAAACAGAAAAACATTTTAGAATTTATTTAGCACATTTAATTTGGAGAACAATTTTACTGTAATTATGATTAATAATTTATAATTTCAACACGCTTCCATTTCCTGTCACAGTCTTACAAAGACCCTATGCAAGCGACATATAAAAAGAGTTAAAGTATCAAAGGAACACTTACCCAGTACATTCAGTCGTGCCGAAGAGTAGGCAGAGCCAGCTATATTGCTAATATATGCTGAGTATTCTCCGGTGTCCTCGCGCTTAACATCTAAAATCTCAAGACTGTGCTGATCTCGCTCGGTCGACAGTACAATTCTGCTGGAGGCTTGGAGTGGGGTGCCATCCTTAAACCAGTAAACCCTTGGTGTGGGAAATCCTGCAGAAAGGCATTGAACATGAAATTACGTTTGCCACCCATTTTACATCTGCAAATGCAACAGCTGAAAATTACAGTAGACTTAGATGCAAAACAATGTGCATGCATGTTTATTAGGAATATAAACAAGTTCATAACAAATAGACCAGATACAAAGAAGGATTAAGGACATTAATGTCATCATTATGGTTAGAGCAACTAGAGTTGAATAGATACAACAGGTGCAGATGCAAAAAAGGAAACACTTGGAATAAATAGTGCATAATTAATCAGAATACAGATTAAATAGAATCTGAATTGAAAGAGAATTTGCATTCATGGGGGGAAAAAACATAGCTGACCTTTGACCCTGACACTCATTTTGGCAATGGGTGCTCCGGGACTGAGGAATAAATCATGTAACTCATCCACAATTTGAGGAAGCTGCTCGTCCTCTGCCACCGACTCAAAAGCCTCTGTGTCCCTGTGCTCTGAGCTAAAAGAGCAACCCAAACACAAGCAGAAGCCAATTTAGAACTACCATGAAATTTAAATCAGAGGTTTGTTTTGGCAGGATCTGAGCAAAATCTATTTTATCCTTGTAGTACTAACATAAAAACGTCATAAAAATCACTTTAAATTAAATGACTGAATCTTACCTAGACGCATAACCTTTAGCACTGACATAGGAAGATGTCTCTGTGGCATCGGCTGCTGTGTCATAGTCTGAGCTGCAAGACACTTTAAAGATACACAAGACTGAATCAATAATCAAACAACATGAGTCTTGAAATCTTGAGTCTTTAAGAATAGTATAAAATAAATGTCCAAAAACATAAAATTGTCACCATTTACTAATACTCAATATTCAAACAACAGATTAACAAAAATGAAGAAAACAGATGAAAGGATCTTTAATTAGTTCTCAATATCAAAATACATATAAATATCAAGAGCATTCATCTTAAGTATGTTGAAAATGTAGGTGCATTTTTAGGCATTCTAGACACAAACAATAACAATGATAAAACACATGCAGTCACATTCTTACACTTCACAGATGCACCGGTAAAAGAAAGTGCCATCTTTGTTAAAACATTTCAATCTGGAACACCATTTTGCTTTCTTGTCTACATTTGTAAGTTTTGGGTTTTGATTAACACTTTCTTTTAACAGTGTACTCACTGTCCACCCTCAGCTCAGCCTTGCTGGAGGCGATGCCACTGTCATTTTCAGCCATGCATCGGTACACGCCCATGTCTGTGGGCAGCACAGCTGTGATGATCAGCTGGTGATGGCCTTCCTGGTCTTCATTGATCATGTAGTGGTCGTTTTCCTCCAACATCTTTCCATCTTTGAACCATCTCACAGTGGGAGGAGGGTTGCCAACAATTACACAGTCAAAACTGACTGGAAACCCATCAGGAACATCTTGGCTACGGAGCTCCGTCAGGAAGACGGCCGCTGGGAGGTTGGTAGGCGATTAAGAGAACAGGGAAGAGCAAACAAAACCGAAAAGAACAAATCATAGCAATTTTTTTTTTAGGAGAAATGCTGAACCAGGCGAAAACATGACATGCCATCACTTTAAGATCCAAAACAAGCAAGTCGCAACATTTCTGGTACATTTCAAAAGTGCTGCTCTATAATGACAAACAAAATCCAGCACTGAATCATGCAACTTTATGAAGAACCAAACAACAGCAGCAAAAACATTTATAGTAGAACCACATGGAAAAAGTGTCATACCAGGGGCTCCTGTCATGAAAGCAGGCATCGGTCGGTCCTGAGTTGGGGTTTGGGAGCCATCTTGGGAGAGACCCATCTTTGTGATACGCAGCTCTACCTTAGCACCTGCCACTGCTATGATGGCCATTTCGATTGGCACTCCTTGATAAGTAAACATTTCCTGGAAGCGCTGGGAAGCTACTTGAGCTTCTGCACGATTATCAAAACGGATGTAGATATACTGATCGTCTTCCCGGTAAGACTGTAAGTCCGGTGGCGGTAAATCTCCTTCATCCGCACTAACAAAAGGTTCCTCTTCCACATCTGGAGGGAGGCGAGTACGAAGAAGTCGCCGTAATCGCTTACTTGCTTGCCGTAAAGTTTCATCCATCTCGCTCCCTGAGGAGCTCTCAGCTTCGCTATCTGCACTGTAGCCTAGAGTGAGTGGGCGTCGCCCAGAAGATTCCCGCAGGGACCCTATAGTGACTTTGCCACTATGGGTGGAAACACCAAACTTATTGGTTACTTCACAAGTATATACACCTGTGTCTTTGGTTGTGGCAGCTGTCACTACTAGAGAACAGGTGCCATCATTATAGATGTCAATATGGTAGTGCTTGCCATCTGTTAAGGGTTCACCATCTTTCAGCCAGTGAACTTTATCCGGCTTACCCTCCACAATGCACTCGAGATGAATTGTCCCATTGGGCTCCTTAGTTTGATCCTTAAATACTTCTTTGAAGACTGGTCGCATGTCCTTCCTGGCTTTATAACCTTTGAAGGCTGCCTGAATCTTGACAACAGCCTCTTGCAACTCATCCCCTTTCTGAGCTTCCATGAGGGGTTCCACAGATGTCTTTGTAACAGATTGCTCTGTCATCTGGAAGTGCTCATACAGTTTCTTGGAGGTCTCAGTGAAAGTCTCAGTGTGACTTTCCACAGTCATAGAGGACTTGCTGCTTTTCTTTAGGTAAGACACCAAGCTTGTTGTCCCACTGAGAGATTCCTCATCAGAACTTGTATAGAGATTAGGCTCCCCTGTGATCTTGGGAGTTGGTTCAATAGGTCTCACTTCCTTTTCAGGTACTTTTCCTTCTTTGCGCTGGGCTTTTTCTTTTCCATCTTCTTCTGGCAACTCTGAAATTGAATCTAATGTGGGTTCCCGACTCATTCTCCTCTTCTTGGCCACTGCATCCCATAGAGCATGTAAATCTCCCTCAGAAGCAGCCTCAGGAGGCAGTTTGGGCTGGCTGCCCGCATCCTGAGAAAGTGTTGTGTCATCTCCTGTAATCAGGGAGCCATCATAAATCAGTCTTACTCATGCATATGATAATTTTTATGTTGGAAAAATTATATCAAGATTGTTATATCAACAATCTATCTTTGCAACAGCAATTTGACTGCAATTAAACTCAGGTAAATTGTGAATAATACACAAATTCGAATAAAGTTTATCACTGAAACAAACAGAAGTAAAAAAAAAAAAAAAAGTAAAAAACAGAGGAGCTAAAAACATGAAAAGAAAAGACACTGAAATGTAATGTAACGGTTGTAGTAACATTTACAAATATTTAGTACTTGTTGCAGAAAACATTATTTTGACATTGCAGTCTTATTGAAGTTGGAATGAGACAGGAAAAAGATATTTGGAGACTGTAATCTCATAATGAAGAAAATCATGAAATAGCAAAGTTCCAAACACTATGACCGAGACACACACAAATGATTATTTCTTGACCCATACAATGTATTTTTGGCTATTGCTACAAATATACCCCAGCGACTTAAGACTGGTTTTGTGGTGCAGGGTCACATATGAGGTTGACAAAAAACAACAATAGTAAGTTAGATGTGAGGTTAAGCAAAGTAAAGTACCTTCGAGGTTGAGGTTGATTGAAGTCTTTGCCTCTTCTGAGGCTACACAATAATAGACACCCTGATCTGTAGACTGGAAATCCTTTATGAGCAAAACTTGGCTCTTTCCTTCTGTTACCATTTGGTACTTGACCCCAACATCTATCTCTCTGTTGTCCTTTAGCCATGTGACTGACTTGCTCTCTGTAGAAAGTTCACACTCCAAACGAACCATCTTTCCTTTTTGGATCTTAGAGCTGCTTAACATTTTGGTCATGGTCACTTGTGCATCTGAAGGTCCAAGGTTCATTCAAAGAACAGTTGATGAAATGTAGCAAGAATTCAACAAGAACAAATACAAAACACAACAAATAAAATACAACAAATACAAAATACACTTGTTTAGAGTATAGTTTTTAGTGTTCTACTACTACTGTAGCATCTAGGGTAGAGTTCTTCACTCCTGGTCCTAGAGAGCCACTTTCCTTCTGAGTTTAGTTCCAGCTGTAATTAAGGTTTTTGGGTTTATTTTAAAGCTATAGCCAGGTGTGTTGGAGCACAGTTGAAACTAAACTCTGCAAGAAAGTAGCTCTCCAGGACCAGGAGTGAGGAACCCCAAACTACTGCAGAATAGCAAGCCTTCTATATGGACTCATGGAGGCAGTTTGGTTTGATGAAAAAACAATGTACTCTATAAGGTTGCTTTCAACAAATTGGTTATTTCAGCAAGTATCCACTTACCAAGTGTCACAGTTTGAGGCAGCTGGACAGGCTCTCCAATACCAGCACGGTTGATGGCTGCCACTCTGAACCTGTAACCTTCCCCCGGTATGAGGTTTTCAACCAGAAATTCAGTGTTGCATACTGGTTCTGAGTGGCAGGGCAGCCAGAGGACACTGTCCACTAGACGCATTTCCACACGGTAACCAATGATTGGGCTTCCTCCATCACTTAGGGGCGTGAACCAAGATAAGGTGACGAACGTTGGACCTTTAATAACCAGCTCTGGGTCTTCAGGGGGATCAGGCACAGCTATAAATAACCAGATAAAATGGAAAAAAAAAAAAGTTATAAGCATAATAGCAGAAATTATAATGAATGCGGCACAAATGAAGACCCTTACATATTGTGATGAGTTTGGCAATTGATAAGGCATCCCGGGCTGCAAATGTGATTTCCTGTGTGGGCTGAGCCTGGGCTTTTTTCAAAATTAGGCTGTAGGAAGAGCCACTGGCTCTCATGGCCCATTGGTCATTACATTTTAGCTCAACACCATTTGCATACCAAGTCACTTCACTCTCAGGCACAGCTTCATTCAAAACACAAGTGAACTCAACTTGTTCTCCTGCAATGGCGGTCTTATCTTCCAAAGGCTTGACCACCTCCAGTTGCCAAGCTGTACAGAACAAATCCATAACATTAAAATACATTTACATTTATACATTTAGCATCATATTTAAAGGGGTCATATGATGCGATTTCAATTTTTAGGAGAAACAATAATGTACAGTATGTGGAAAATAATGTGTTTTTTTTTACTTTAAACCGCATAAACACATTTCATTACACCAAATACACAAAATAATGTTCTTTTTAGCAGCATCATATGACCCCTTTAATATATTATAAAACGGGAGCATGAAACTACAGCACAATAGTAAATAAATAAAGCTATACCATATACAAGATAGAAAATTAACTGCATCATTATTCAAAATATAGACATGACCTATAAAACTAGAGCAGTCATTTTTCTTTAATAAAATATGATGTAATACCTTACATCATCTGATGTAATACCATACATCTATCTAAATTGAATGCTAATACTACAGAAATGACGTACTTTTGACAGACAGAAGAGCAGTAGTTGATGAAGTGCCAGCTTGGAATGTAACCCTTGTGTTTTCACAAGGATGCAAGTTCTTTAAAAGCAGAAGATGGCGTCTGCCACTCTCAAAGGAAACAATCTCCACGTTTGCGGACTCCTTTACAGGCTTGCCATCGATTAACCACTGGCAGTCTTTGTTTTCAGGACGAGACAAGGAGCATTCAAAAAGTGCTTCCCCGCCATTAATGGTCTCCACATTACTCAGCTCTTGAAGAATGTCAATTGGTTTAGCTGTAAGAGAGAGACAATGCCTGAAAAAACACTGGCTTTATACACGCCAAAACAAGTCCCTGTAGTACTCAATGACTTTGACTGGCCTTGAATTAAAAATAACTTCTGAGCTAACAGTTACTGAATCCTGCACAATCACACTCAATTAAAATTTCTTCCAACATTTCACTAGCATATACAGTAGCATCTAGCATTGAGTAGCGTAAGAAGCATGATGGTTACTGCATAGCCAGCCAGATGATGATGATGTTGCTAAAAACAGCAATTTTTGGAGTAAAAAAAAAAAAGGACAAAAAAATTCCAGTATTCCAGTAAAACCCTTTGTGGTAAGCCCTTACTTGTGCAACTTACAACTTAATATTTCTCAAAGTCTTTGCGAGTCTTAAAATGAGTCTTTGTGATGATCCAGCTTTGAGTTATGGATGACACACAGATTCTCTTCGCCTACAGGTGTGCTCACCTTGCACCCTGAGATGTGCCACAACAGAGGTTCCTTCTGCCTCACAGGAGTACATCCCCCCATCCTGGGGCTCCACACAGCTAATATACAACCGCGCAACAGTCCAGTCCTGTTCCACTATCACCCTGCGACCGTCTGCTTGCACAGGTATGCTGTTTCGCTTCCATACGGCCTTGACTGGCCGGGAGTACTGACAGATGAACTCTGCAGGCTGGTTTTCTGCTACATGTTGGTCCTCCATGGCACTGACCACTTCCACATTGGGATCTATAGAGGGTTGGTGGTGGGGATAAGTAATATTCACAAGACCCCAGTGCACTTTGAAGTAGAGTTCTTCACCTCAAGCCTCTTTCAGGTTTTAAGGTGGTATTTAATGCAATTTAAAACTAAAATATACAGCAAGCCTGGTACTTTATTCAGTTTAAAACAACAGCCTTTACAATCTCATAATCTAAGTCAGTGCTGTAGCTGTTTCTTTTTCTTTCACATTGAAATGTACATGGTAAGTGTAACATCTTTTTTTGCTTCTCTACTCCAAACTGACCAAGGACATGGTCAATTACAACCAACACATGCCTAGTTGCAGTGTCAAGTCAATCTAAGGCCAATTAATAGAAAAAGACATGCAGCACAAACAAACAATGAAGACTGATGAGTGTACAATTATCTGATTTAGAATGCATCCAAGACCATTATTGTTTGCTCTTTGAATTTTTGGGCAAAAGGTTGCTTGCACAATTTGACTTAGATGCTTTGGTGCATCCACTAGGGCTTTCAGTTTTATATATTAATTTTACCTCAAGCAGATTAACAAACTGAAATTAATAAAATGTAAAATGATAGTGATAGGCTGTATGTCAAATAATATGCAAAAAACAGACAAACAATATATTGACTTCTACAGACACTTTTTTTGTGATGAAAAATCTTGTTTTTGAATTTAAATAATCTGAATTATTCATTTAGGACTTTTCTCAGCATATTTTTAACATGATTAATTGAGATTAATTAATATGAATATCATGCTTTTTTATGGAAGGGCCAGTAAAAAAATTCTGGGCATGTAAAAATCTGAACCCCTGGCCTGACTGTGCCAGTAGTAAAAATCTTTGTATTGAGCCCTGCTCCATATACAAGCTCAAAATCAGTGTGCTAATTTAATAATTAGTATGCCAATTTTGTAAGTAATTAGCAAGCCGTGATACTGCAGCCAAATCCAATTTTTGGTTAGAAATACATGGCACATGGACTACATGCATCCATGAATTTTCATTAAAAATTCATTAAAACTTACTGTATACTTTTGCCTAACAGTAAAGGGTCTAACAAAAAGATTCAATTCTAGGCATGGGTAACCTTAAAAGAGAATAAAGTAAATAAAATCCTGTTCTGTCAGGATTGCATTATTGAGCACTTAACCAAAGGACTCTCCAGGGTAGTCTGTGCAAAGACACTTTAAATTTAGAGTATTATTAATATGGATAAGTAATTCAGTAATATGAGTATACAAGTCTGAAGAACACAAACAGTACTGAACTACTTCAAGGACAGATTAAGACACAATTCAAGATTTATGGTCTAACTGTAGCTGTTAAAAAGAGGTCAAGGCAACCTAAATGCTTCACAGAATGAGTAACCGACTTTTAGATTTAGGAAATTCATGGACACAGTATTAGTCCAGTGCTATTCAAAATTTTAAGCTTTTACATTTCTGTGCTGCCAAGTACTGCCAAGCACCACTGCATTTGGTACCTTTCACTAATAGCTTGGCGGAGGACGTCAGGCCACCTGTTTTGAACAGGACTGTACCCGAATCATTGGGAGAAAGGTTCCTTAGGGTTAGAGTGTGGACATGGTCTTCACCCACACTTATTTCACTGAAGGTACTGTTCTCCAAACGAGTGCCGTCTAGCCACCACTGAACTCTGCCTTTGGCATGGCGAGAGAGCTGGCAGGAGAAAATTACCTGTTCGCCCACAAACACATCTGTATTCTTTATACCCGACACTATGAGAACCTCAGCCTCTGCAGAGACCAGACACAGAAACCCTTAGATCACCAGTGTCTAAAAACACTCATACATTGAGGATGCTTCAAAAACATAATGTGAATCTTATGGGGACGTAATGACAAAAAGCTACAGATTTTAAATAACCTCCAGCCCGAGAAAATTCTGTTTGCTCTACAACAGAAATTTTTATAACTAAAATACAGATTTCAAATGATTTAACAATGCTATTTGATACCTTGCACAGTGACTGATGCTGTGGTCAACTGGTCTCCAGCATCACAAGTGTAGTAGCCATTGTCCTCTGGTTCCAGATCATGGACATGGAGCTCCAGCACACACCCTTCCTTTTTCATCTCAAATTTCTTACTGGGTTGGAGCACCACTCCACCCTTTCTCCACTCTACACTTTTAACCGGCTTAGAAAGCTCACAGCGCAAGGTGATACTATCTCCCTCTATTGCATTCTGGTTGTCTAACTCCTTCCGGAAATATGCAGGTTGACCTGATGATGGATAAGAAAAGAAGTTAAAAGAATGTAAATGTCAGATTTTAAACAGCTGCTGATATCTGTGAGGGTATCAAAATCTTCTTTGTTCCACAAGAGAGGCAGTTATAAAGAAAAGAAAACCAGAACGGGTCTTCTTGAAACCCATTTGTGTTCACTTTATCTTCAGGCATGTTGATAAAATGAAAACAAAAGTCACAGGCCTACAAACCTGTTTACCTTTAACAGTAAGGGTGGCACAGCTTTCTGCATCTTTGGTTTTGCATGTATACAACCCTGCATCTCCTTCCTCCACTCTAAGGATGCGGAGCTGATGGACGGCTCTATCCTTGTAGAGCAGATACCGCCCCCCAGCCTTTATCATCGCTTCATCTTTGTACCAGGTGACAGAGGCCTCAGGGTCGGAAGTCATGCAGGACAGTGTGACTGTTTGACCCTCTTTGGTAGTTAAGTCCAGAGGCTTCTCTAAGAATACGACTATGGACAGGAGAAACCCAAACCCAAGTGCTGTCACATCATAATGTCTGCCTGAAGACTCTGAAACTTAGATACTTGAAACAATTGAACATATACTGTGGTACATTAAAAGAGCTTTACTGAGTGAGAAACTTCTGTTTTAACAGTTATGGGCAGGAAACAGACAAAAGACTATGTCAGAACCAAAAATGTATGAAAATTCATCTCTTTCTCAAAAAAAAAAAAAAATGTTGGAGTGTAGCTGTAGAATTGCCAAAGCAAACGGAAAAGCAGCTGGAAGCCTTTTGTTATAATTGCGCAAAATGAGTGCAACTACTACCTAATGAAAGACAGATGATTGCTTGCCAACAATGAATGCTGTTAGCCATAATGTGTCTTTTACCTTTGGGTTTCTCCTGCACCAACAGGTAGGCGATACTCTTCTCAGGGCCAACCACAAAGGCTACATCACCTGAATCATCGGGTGTGACCATTTTCAGCACTAGGCTGTGTTCCCTCCCTCGGCAGCTGATTTGATTCAAGTCATTGTTTTGAAGGTGGTTGGAGCCGAGCCACCACTCAACATTCGTAACCCCTGTATGAGACACCTCACACTGGAAGATAGCATCCTCGCCCGTTATCACAGTCACATCCTTTAATTCTCTTGTGATTTTTACACATTCTGGGAATGGATGGAAGGAACGTGATGAAAGGGACGATTGAGGATCTTCCGAAAAGTCAAAAGAGGTAAATATCCCACTACTGACTATCTACTAGAAGTGACTTAGAATGTGAGAGGATGTATTAGTCCTCCAAACAGTGTAGTTTTTAATGAAAGCTTGGGATTTTGTTGTGACATTAAAGTTAAATCCCAGAATTGAGGAGAGCATCATGCGATCTTAGTTCACAGATATTTGCTTTACATACTACTTGGATCATGCCTTAGTGGCAATCTAAAACATAAAAGCTACTCAATGTATTCATTATTTTAAATGCTAATATGTACTTTTGCTTCTGCAGGGAAACAATGTAAAATGGAGCCCATCTCTAAAGAAGAATCAAGATTGTTACCTTTGACAGTCAATGTAGCTTTGCTTTGTTTGTCTCCTGCTTCACATATGTACTCGCCACCATCATCCACTGATAGCTTATGGATTTCCAAGGTTTGGATTGTGCCATCCCTCTTTATGGAATACTTCTTTCCATCAGATAGGACCTGAGTACCCTTCTTCCAGGTCACACTGGCATCAGGTATTGAAGTTTCACAACATAATGAGGCACTGCCTCCCTCTGTGACTTCCTGGCTTGTTAACTCCTTCACAAATGACAGCACAGGGACTGCTGTTGGGAAACAGCAATACACAGAACACATTCTAAGATACGTGCAAACCCCAAACCTGCATATTAGAAGATGGCAACAAAGAGATGGCAACAAATTGTCTTAGTAGTTTCTAAACGCATCCAGGGACAAGATAAGCCTAACCTTGGAATGCTTGAATCAGAAATCATGAAACTTTTTGCAGCACTTCTATTATAGAAAAAAATTAATCACTGATGAGAAAAAAGGAACATAGAATAGTCAACCTTCTAAATGTAATATCCAAACAAATAAAGCTCTGCATACTACCAAGCAATAGACAAGAAATATTTGGCAAGTGAAGATAAAACAGATAACATGCATGCATGAAATGTTGTGCTTTCATTGTGGTGTATATAAAGAGGCTGGTCACATGTCATTTTTTTGCAATATGATGCATTAAAGCATGCATCAACGAGTAATAAATGCAAGTTATACTACATATGTGGAATGTTTTGACTATTTATGGATATAGAATGATCATACACACAAATACTAAACACATGCAGTAAACAGTGCATGTGTTCGAAACTCACTGAGAAATAAATTAAGGTGTGAAATAAAACAAACTACTATTTAGAAATCCAAAAAATTATTTAGTTTTACCTCTGACTGTAAGACAAGCAAAAGAAGTGTGTGCACCCACATGGAAGGACACTGTGCCTGAGTCTTTCTGGGTGACCCTTCTTAGTGTAAGCGTGTGCCTTTTGCCATCCATTCCGATTTCATTCATCTCATTGTTCTGTAGTGGAACGTCTTGTAGCGTCCACTGAACAATGAGTGCATTGTCATGAGAGACAAGGCATTCGAAATGAACGTCCTCGCCTTCATTGACAATGCAGCTCTTCAAGCCAGTTAAGATCGTGATTTCAGGTTCTGAAAGCAAAATCAGGTTTCATTTTGTCAGAAGTAGTCAACAGATCAAAAAATAGATAAACTTCCACAGTATCAATTTAACATCCACTATAAGCTAAGAAAGAAAAGTTTCAAGAAAATTCACAGCAGTTGTCAGACAGAAATAGCAACGCTGGTATAAAAATAAATGTTAAACTACAAGGGTAAGGTTTATAATGTTATGTCAAGTGCAAAAAACTCTTGTACTTAATCTATCAAAATGAAATGGGAGTGCATTGGAGAAAGGTTGTGCAAGTTTTAATGAAATTTAAAGTGCAAAACCACGTGCACAGAGAAGGTGCTGAAGGTGATCTGGGATCAAGTACAAGCATACCATAAGAGAGGATGACGGCATAATACTTAGGATGGTATGGAGTAGATGCGTGATCATCAAAAGAGGATGATCAGGTAAAGTTAGGAGGGATGAGGACTTTTACAAGGTGATTCATACCCTTCACAGTGAGTTTGGCAGATGTCCGATCATGTTCTGTTTCACAGCAGTACTCTCCAGCGTCTCCTTCTTGCAGCTTGTAAATGATAAGCTCAGCAACAGCCCCATCTTGCTTCAGCTGATATTTGTGGCTTGCTTCTATTACACTCTTGTCTTTCCTCCAGATGACTTTGGCTCCAGCTTTGTCAAGTTCACATCGAAACACTGCATTTTCCCCAGCTTCACTTTCCAAATCTTTCAGAGATGATTTGAAAAGAACTGGCAGCGCTGCAAAAGGTGAGTAAACAAGTGTTTCAAGGTCATCATGAAGAAACGGCTTCAAATGATACAGGAAAGAAAGACGGTTCAATCCAAACCTACCCTTAACTTTCAGATATGCAATGCTTTGGCGTTCTCCAGTGTCACAAATATAGTCACCAGAGTCCTCATGTTCAAGGTCATGTATGACCAGTTGGGCACGGTGGCCATCTTGCTTTAATTCATATTTAGCACTGGGGCATAGGCCAATTTCACCCTTGCGCCATTCAACTGGAATGTCTGCTTTGGAGAGCTCACACTGGAAGCTGATGCTCTCTCCCTCAACAGCTGCCTGGTTCTTTAGTGCTTGTGTGAAAATGGCTGGAAGTGCTGCCAATGCAAAGAGTGGTATAAGATGCAAGAGATTAAAGATTTTCCAGACAAGTAAGACCCGAAAGGCAACAGTTCAAACAAATATTATAGTACACCAACAGGATACAATAAAATTTCTTTCTTTAGATTTATCTTCATAATAAGCTGTGGAAGAATTTATACTTCACAAACACAGGATAAATGTGGCAATGCAGTTCAAAGATGGATTAGAATAATGGAAAAATTCAAGAAGTAGTTGTTCTCCTACCATTAACCTTGACACTGGCTGTGGTAATGCTGCCTCCGCAATCACAAGCATAGTCTCCAGCATCTTCAGGTTTGACATCAGTGATCTTCAGCTCAACAGTAGAGCCAACTTGCCTGATGAGGTACTTTCCTCCAGAATGGATCACCTGCATCCCTTTCCTCCAAACAACAGGAACTCCACGTTTGGAGAGCTCACACTGGAAGATGATGCTTTCTCCTTCAATAGCTGTCTGGTTTTTTAGCTCTTGTGTGAAGGTGGCTGGAAGAGCTGACAATTCAAAGAGTGGTATGAGATGCCAGAGATTTAGTTCCGTACATACAGATGACTTAATAAATATTTTTCAGAGAAGTAAGAACAAGATGATACAAATGCAAACAATGGTTACAATTAAGTCTTTTTTTGGCCTTAACTTCATATTAAATTGGAGAATGATTTGCACTTCACAACCAAGGAATGCATGTGACAATGCATTTCAAAGATGGATTAGAATGATGGAAAAATTCATGAAGATGTTGGTCTTCTCCTACCGTTAACCTTGACGTTGGCAGTTGTCATGCTGTCTCCGCAACCACAAACATAATCTCCAGCATCTTCAGGTTTGACATCAGTGATCTTCAGCTCAACATTAGAGCCAACTTGCTTGATGAGGTACTTTCCTCCAGAACTGATCACCTCTGTTCCTTTTCTCCAAACCACAGGAACTCCAGGTTTTGAAAGTTCACAGCGCAAAGTAACACTTTCCCCTTCTTGAAGCTCTTGGTTCTGTAACTCATGCTTGAAGACCACCGGTAATGCTGAGGAATTAGGAGAATTTGTTGAACCAGAAACTGAATCTTGTGAGATTTATACTTTGCCTAAAATATTATTCCACTGATAGATGTAAAACATTCTTCTGAAATGGCTTAACTTATAATTTTACCACCTTGTGAGATTTTAAGTGAAAACAACCACCATGATGCAAATGGAAAAACTATAAACTAGACAAACAGCTTATTACACTAGACTAGACCATACACCGCACTACACCCTAACTTAAATGAAGACATTATTAAAGTGCAGCTTTTTAGGTCAGAAAACAGGAAACTTCATTGTTGTAGAGGGTTAAAATAAAAGGTGAGTCCTACCATTGACTTTGATACTAGCAGTGCTGATGTTGTCTCCGCAATCACAAACATAGTCTCCAGCATCTTCAGGTTTGACATCAGTGATCTTCAGCTCAACAGTAGAGCTAACTTGCTTGATGATGTACTTTCCTCCAGAACTGATCACCTCTGTTCCTTTTCTCCAAACCACAGGAACTCCAGGTTTTGAGAGTTCACAGTGTAAAGTAGTTCTTTCCCCCTCTTGAACCTGTTGGTTCTGCAGCTCATGCCTGAAGACCACTGGTAATGCTGAGGAATCAGGCAAAGTTGTTGAACCAGGAAAATCTTGTGAGATTAATTTGTCATTGTTAAGTTTTTGAGGGTTCAAATAAAAGCTCAGTCCTACCATTGACTTTAATGTTAGCAGTGGTGATGTTGTCTCCACAATCACAAGCATAGTCTCCAGTATTTTCAGGTTTAACATCAATGATCTTCAACTCAACTGTAGTCCCAATTTGTCTGATGATGTACTTTCCACCAGAATGGATCACCCGTGTTCCTTTCCTCCAAATCACAGGAACTCCAGGTTTTGAGAGTTCACAGCGCAGAATAACAGTGCCACCTTCATCACATGCTTGGTTTAGCAGTACTTCCATAAACTGAATTGGGTGAGCTGTTGAGGCAGGCACTTGTTGAGTATAAAAGGTCAATTTGTACACTATTCTGTAATAACACAGAATGTGTACAGGCAAAACATCTTAGCTTTATAATATTACTTTCTAAATAGTAAACCTAAGTCAGGAAAGTTCACTATAAATACACTATAAAACTACTAATGAATGTTGTTACAAGAATATAAGAATGTTTGTCATCAACACCAATGAAACCATCTAAAGAGAAACACTTCTCAGGTTCACATAGCCATTTAAAGAAATCCAGCTTGTATATTTCAAAAATAAACGCAAAAAATATCACCATCAAGACTGGTGACATGATGTGTTGAAAATATTCAAGATACAAAAACAATGCCTGAATCAGTTTCCATCCATGAACAGTATGGCAGAATTAAGACTTTGAATACATTTTTGGATGATTTCATACAGCTAAAAACTGCATGAAAAGTGTTACATTTAGAGATACAAATCAAACTAAAATGAAAAATTATGAAAGACCAGCCTGCAATGGTAAAGAACAGTCTACAGCAGTGTTTCCCAACCTTTCTTTAGTCGCGGCACCCTTTGGAAATTTTAACAAATTTGTGGCACCCTACAAAATTAATTTTGTCACAATATTTGAATTTCTAACTTCGATATGATACTTTGAAAAGTATAGATATTCAGTACAGCAGGGAAGAACTGCAGAATATACTGTCATACAGATATTTTTAATATTATAAAAAAAATTTGTCCATCAATGGTGGCAATCAGTAGGCTAATTTCTGATGAAAAGACCAATTTATATGACAGATTTTAATGTAGGCTTTTATTCATATGTAAACATTGTGAGATAGCTAGTTATAATGGTAATTAAACAAAGTTTTGCTCACTCAGTGTATTTTTGATTTTACAGTTGGGTAATTTTGGTGCAGTAGCACGAGATAGCTTGATTTAAAACTTTGAATTGAATAAAAAATGACAAGGAGGCTAAACCGCTAATAATAAAATAAGAACAAATAAAGAAATTACTAATGATAGCACAAATAAAAAATAACGACAGGCCTTCGAATTAAATAAATTGCTTTTTAGTTTTTCAGGTAGGTCTAACACACAGTAGGGCTATTAAGAGATTATTTTTTTTTTACCAATTATCCCAATAATGTTTAATCCTAGAAAGCTATTATTATCAGAGGACACGTGAACTTAACGGTTAGCAGATCAATGAATGAGAGGGCAGCGTTACCAGAGTTGCCCATTTACCACACCTTGTTACAACACAGTAGGGCTATTGTAGACAGAAACAATACTGTATTACATAGATGTTTCCTGTCAGCTCGATTTTTGAGTGGACTTTGCTGTTCCGATGAGCTTGAACGGTATATGAGCGACTGAGCGGAGCACACACACGCATAGAGCGGGATAATACGCAGAGCGTCACACCACGTGAAAGTGAATCCTGAGCGGTGAACTAATTTTCGGCAGCCAGAATTTCAGTGCATCTCTAATTATTGGCGACATCCGAAATTGATATTATATAATAGCTGCTTTTTTGAGAATTTTAGCAATTTAAAAATATTTAAAAAATATTTTTTACACGGCACCCCGGTTGGAAAACACTAGTGTACAGAATAACACAAAGACAAATGTGTGGGAGCAGAGTGAATGGCTCCTGACTGAAAAATTGCAGAATGCAACTAAAAACAGGATAAAAAAAATCACCTCTAGAAACATTTTAATTAAAATGCCAACAGTCTAGACTTTTCTGAAAAATCAAAGCAAGAGGACACAACTAATGTTCCTAAACCAGCTACTTTCACTAAACCAAGTACACAAACAGATGAATATAATCTAAGATAAGCTAAACTCTTCCCTACAACCATCATCCACTCCTGCCCTCTTCACCTTTGTTCATTGCAAGTACAATGTGGGAAACAGATAACACTCTAGAGTCAACCATTTAAAATAAATATTCACCATGTGTGACTAGAACAAGCTGTGGTGCAGGTAAAGTTGAAGGAGAAAAATGCATCAATAGCCATTGATTTTCAAGTGATAAAATATAAGTAAAACAAAATCAGATTAGCAACATGTGCTTCACTTTTACTTATGCAAAGACATTTTTTAAAACATAAAAGATGAACTGCTATTTTGCTGAAGTTTGTCTGGTAATAAAAGTAGGAGCAACAGTTCTGAAAATGTAAAAAAAAAAAAGAATGCTTATACAGAATATCCGAAGGATTTTTGATGCACGGGCGAGAAGCTTAAATGCTTGTCAACAAAATAAAGACACACCACAACAAAGAGTGCTCAACACTATCATAATGCAAAAGCGACTATGTGTGGCCACATGCTGTTCCATTCAAAAGAACGCATTACTGAACATTTTGACTGGGATTCACTTTTCCATTAGCACATAAACGTGCTGCACGACAGGTAGGAAATAGACATCAGTTTCATACCACTGAGCTCTGACTGTTTCTCTTTCTTCTGCTTCTGGAAGTCTGATTCAAGGGCAGCAGAAGGATGGAGGAACTTTAGAGCTGTGACAAAAGACACATTCATGTAAACTGCAACCCTTGGCCAAAACTGTAAGGATCTTAGAACACAAATAGCAACGCCTGTGTCAGCCATGTTGGACAATAGTGGCAAATACTAAACAAGCAGACATCCTTATTTTACAGAAGCATTCATGCATGTTGACTAAATGAAAGCCCCCAAAGCCTGACTGATTTCTGACTGACAGATAGCACGGCCAACAAGAAGAATTCAAGCTGCTGACCAAGAAAACAAAGCACGGACAGTCATTCTGCACATTTGCTCTGTACCATCGACTGATGCCCCCTGCTCAGTAGTCTGCTTTTGAAGTCCTGGTTGGTATAAGGGTGTCTGTGCCTTCAGAACTGTGACAAAAAACATTTTGTAGATGGAATCACAGACAATGAAATCTCAAAGAAGACATGTGTCCAAAGCTTGTAACACATGCAAGTTCTGTATCAAGTAGTGTAATATGTGTTGAGTTACTCTACTGTGAATTGAGACTCAAGTCAGACTAGTGAAACCTGAAACCCATATCTCTGTTCCACATATGAACCACACTAAACTGAAGAGGTTACAAGCTAGAAGAAACAAACAGACAGCGATGAAGAAGTTTAAGGCAATACCAAAACAGATGTCTGTCAGACTAATGCATTACAGCACAGCCAGCAGAGCCACAGCAGGATACAACAAATTATCTAAAAGTTATATTTAAGCATATATAGAATTATTCTGTTCCCCATCAAAAACTTCTTCAGTTATGGTTTTTAGCTTTGGAATGCAAGAGAGTAATTTTGTGCTACACACTTGAAACGAACAATTACATATTGTTCATTACTGTAGGATATCTTTGGAAACTTAACATAACAAATGCAACAAATAAAACGACTAACAACACTACATAACAGTATTAACCAACACCAAAGCAAGCAATAATATTACATTGAAAATGGTTGTTTGTCAGCATAGTGCAGCTGGTGGGGAGGGGGGAGGGTAATTAAATGGTTAAAAAATCCCAGAAAGTATAAGAATGATTCATACCCTTGATCTTCATATGGGCTGTTGTTGCCTTGTCTTCACATTCACACGTGTAGTCTCCTTCATCTTCAGGTTTGAGATCTGTGATCTTCAGCTCCACCTTTGAGGCAATCTGCCTGATGACGTACTTTCCTCCAGACTGAATAACATGGCCTCCTTTTTTCCACTGCACAGGGACACCAGGTTTGGAAAGCTCACAGGACAGAGTAGCACTGCCTCCTTCATCACACTCCAGGTTTTGCAGCTCATGTGTGAAGACCACTGGTAGTGCTGAGGAACCGTGAAAAGATGTTGGAACCATTTTACACAAATCACTCAGGACAACATCTGAGAACTGGACTGAACATAAGTCTTTTCAGTCTTCTTGTCTAGTTTTCTAGCTTTGAAGTCATTAAGGACATCAATCAAGCAATTTTAAAAAAACAAAGCCATTAGTGTAATAAGAAAAAACCCTGATCAACAATAACTTCAGGTCACAGTAGAGGACTGTTATATGATGTGTAATACCATACATTTAATCACAATTCAACAAAAGATGTAATTCCTACCATTGACGGTAATGGTAGATGAGGTCTTGCTAAACCCACAATCACAACTATAGACCCCAGCATCTTCAGGTTTGACATCAGGGATCTTCAGTTCAAAAACAGAACCAACTTGCTTTATGTGGTATTTCTCTCCAGAATGGATCACTTGTGTTCCTTTCCTCCAAACCACAGGCACTCCTGGTTTGGAATGCTCACACTGAAGAGTAACACTGTCCGCCTCTTGACACTCCTGGTTTTGTAGTTCTCTTTTGAAGATCAATGCTAAGAAGCAATTGATGTTTCAACAGGTTGTTAGTATAATGCACTTTGCACAAAATGTAAATGCACAACATGACAAAACATTCAAAAACCTACCAAAGAAAACAAGAGACATTATAAGACAGAACACTGACAGAAATCACAAAAACATTGAACATCTTACAAGACAAGATTAGCAGATATTTGTATTAGTGAAGTTAATCTACTTAAGCCAAATAATGCTATAATATCCATGTTAAGTTCCCTTCAAGCGACTAACCAGTAAAGGTAAAAATATAAAAAGTCTTTGTACTCACTAAAGAGTGAACATGAAAAAACACGACATTTAACAGACCGAATGAATTTCATACCCTTGATTTTAATGTTTGCTGTAGTCTTTTTGTCCCCACACACACATGTGTATTGTCCAGCATCTTCAGGTCTGAGGTCAGCGATCTTCAACTCAAAAGTAGCCCCATCTTGCATGATGAGGTACTTTTCCCCAGATTGCAGCACCTGCGTTCCTTTCTTCCAAACAACAGCAACTCCACGCTTTGAGAGCTCACAGTGAAGAGTAACACTGTCTCCTTCGTCACACTCTTGGCTTTGTAGCTCACGTTTGAAGACCGCCGGCAATGCTGAAGAGTAATTATGTGATGACATAAATTAAAGGTGTGTAAAAATTAGTAGTTTCTTGACTACACATGCATTGACATTTTAGTGTATCGCTTGATCTTAGTGCTAAAATAAATTGAATTAAAGGTTTTTTTTATCAAAAAAAAAAAAAGTCTAAATCAATAAATGGATGCATGTAAATGAATAGGCTTTTATCCATACCACTGACAACAACATTTGCTGTTGTTTTTTCGCTTCCACAATCACAGGAATATTCTCCACTGTCCTCAGGCACTAAGTCTGAAATCTGTAGCTCACACATGGTGTCCCTCTGCATTATCTGATATCTTCCCCCATGTTTCAGACTTTCCGTTCCCTTCTTCCATTGCACTTGGCAGCCAGGTTTTGAGAGCTCACAGGAAAGTAAGACTTTCCCACCTTCAGTAACCTGCTGGTTCTTCATCTGACCCTTAAACCTAGCAGGTACCACTGGAGAACGAACAAGCATCATATAATTAAAATTAGATAGGATGGAAGATCTCTGGGATGAGATGATGAAGGTACGACATGGAAGCTAGGATAAGCCAACTTCTGTGTTATTTTGCGTCATAATGTGATTAAGCTTGTAATGTATAATATCTTTACATCATTGGTCGTCAAAATTTTCTATAATCACGGAAACATTAAAACAAACAAAGAAACAGTTCCAACACATCCATTGCACCAGGACTACATGAATACATATATTACACATACAAAGTCCAGACAAGACTTGAACCAAGACAAACACAAAAGTGCAAGTGCCATTTCTAATATTTGACAACTTGACAGACTGCTGAAAGACATCTACTGAAATCACACAACAGCTTCTTTATAAAAACTAACTGATCTGCCCAATAAAACCTAAATTATATTTCAGATAACTAAGACAAGGATGCTAATGGTAAAAAATGTGAACCCAAAGTAATGAAATGTTCTATCATGTCAGTTGTTGAACTAAGAACAAGTAAACAATTTCAGCATGTATGGAAATAAAAGACTATTTAACCACATTTTCACCAAACTGACTTGCTAGAAATCTAAAGTAAAGTACCAAAATTATTGTAAAAGTACAATATAAAAGTACCAGTTCTCTGAACTGAGGTGATCATCTGCTGACACAGAAATGCATGAGACTATCACCGAAATGCCTGGCAGTAACATCGCCACAAAGGAACCCAAAAGTAAAATGTCAAATGCAGAAATACAACACATATGTTGAATCAAATTAAAAATTGTACTTACCAGAAATACTTTCAAAGAACACAGAGACAATAAAAACACTGTACATACATAAAAGCTTTAAACATAAAAAACACTATCTAAGAATATAATCTAAGATTCTCCAGCTTAAAGTAATTATTTTCTAGCTAAGGGTAATACATTGCTATAAACACCCAGAAAGAGATTTCTGTGTTAAGCGGTTTATTTTTCGGAGAAAGCCAGGTTCTTACCTTTCACCGTCAATTTGGCTGTACTCTTCGTAGAGCCAATGTCACAGGTGTATACCTCGCTGTCACTCTTCTCCAGATCCTTCACTTTGAGGATGAGGACAGTTCCCTTTTGCATAAGCTCATACCTTCCTCCAGCCCTGATCTCCTTTGTTCCTTTCAGCCAGGTGACTTTAGAGGCAGGTTGGGTTGTCTCACATTCAAAGGAGACAGCACTCTTCTCTTCTGCAGTGGCATCCTTTAGCTCACGAATGAATTTGTTGGCCAGTTCTACAGAGGGGATGAAATACTAAAGTAAATATATCTCCTGTTTAGAGGATTTCCCTCTTTGTATATTTAAAGAAAGGATAACAGAATCTAAGGCTACGTTTACACGACAACGATGTAGTCAAAAACAGAAAAGTTTTTCCCTTGCGTTTTTAAAAAGTTTCATGTATACACGACAATGTTTTCAAAACAATTCGCATTTACACATATCCGCGAAAACGGCCAAGAACGCTGTATTACGTATGCCAGGCCAGTAGTTGGCACTGTCACCTTGTTAGTAAACAGTACCTGTAGGGAAGTGACGATTATATGATGTATATGATGCGTCTCCGCTGTTGGTTGTAATATTGGTGAAGTAAATCCACACTTTGCTGAAGAAGCGTTAGCAAACTCTTGAGCAGCAACAACAGTACCATGTACTCCGCCATTGTTGTGTATGTTTGTTCGTGCTTGCCTTTAAAATCGACATGTATTGCGCATGCCTACATACCTAACACATACTACACACGCGCATGACGTCACCGTTTTCAAAGATTCCTGTATTGGGTGTTTACACAGAAACGATAACGGTGGCATTTTTAAAAACTTGCACTTTGAAACCCGTTTTCAAAAATATGCGTTTTCAGTCCCCAAAACGCTGTTGTCGTGTAAACAAACAGTCAAAACGCATAAAAAGTTTCCCGTTTTTGGCTGAAAACATTGTTGGGTAAACAGCCCCTAAAACCATAAATTTTAAAATCCTTGCCTTTGATCTCCAGCTTAGCCTTGGAGGTTGGACCACCGGTGATCTCACAGCTGTATTCTCCAGAATCTTTTTCAGTGACGTTGCGGATTGTCAGCTTTACGAGCGTCTGCTCCTGACTGATTTCGTATTTCTGGCTTTTTCTAATAGATTTGCCATCCTTTGACCACTTCACTTCCAGTCCAGATTGAGAAAGCTCACAGGAGAATGTGGCATCCTCACCAATTTTGGCACTGACACCTTGAAGCTCTTTAGATATGGTAGGAGCTTCACCTGGCTCCCAAAAATAAGATACACCTTGATTAAGCAAAACCGTATTTGTGTAAAACCTATAATCCAATTCATTGCATGCCCTGCTTACCCTCAACAGTAAATGTTGCCTTTGAGCTCAAATCCTTGAGCGTGAAGACCACCTCACCGGAATCAGAAGCTGAGACAGCTTTGATTGTTAAGGTATACTTGCGCCCTTTGCTGCTTATCTGGAAACGGCCTCCATCAGTGACAGGTTGGCCTTTTAGGCTCCAGGTGCACCTCTCTGAACTTTCTCGGGACAAGATACACTCGAATGTGCAGTTTTCACCTGCTTTGGCCTCTACCGATTTAAGACGCTTGGTGATCCCAATGTGGATATCTGGGGTCAACAGCAAAGACATTATTAAAAAACACCAACAACTTTATCCGTTTTCATAAAAACATACAGGATAAAACTACACCAAAATGACACTACAGTGTCATTGTAGCACAACAGTACTACATAAGTTTGTTGTCATACCTCTAACAGTGACCTTGGACTTGGAGAGGTCTGTGCCAAGATCACAGCTGTACTCCCCGGCGTCAGCTTGTGTGACATCATGGATAGTAAGTCCCAAGGTCTTACCATCATGGAGGAGCTCATACTTTTCCCCTGCTGACAGGACTGTTCCATCTTTGCGCCACACAGGGGCCACTCTGGGCTTTGAGGCTTCACACTTAAGGGTAACTGTACCCTTCTCCTCTGCAACTACATCATCCAGCAACTTTAGGAAGTTGGCTTTCTTCTCTGGATGTCAATAAATAAAAAAGTTAATTAAGCCAAAACCTGGTCAAAAAAAGTCTTTATTTGGACATCGTGATACAACCCCACCTTTGACCTTTAGGCAGACCGTTTCTTTCACATCCCTGATGCTGAATAAGACCTTCCCACCATCCTCAGGTGCTAGGTTCTTGAGGGTGAGCGTATGGGTCTTATCCACATGGGTGATGGCATTGACCTCATTGTTGAAGAGCGGCTTGTCATTGAGTGTCCACTGGACCTCTTCATCAGCATAGTTAACCTCACAGGTGAACACAGCATCACCATCTTCATCCACCTCCACGTCCGTCAAATGTTTGGTGATTTGGATTTTACGCACTATGTATGTCAGAAAAATAAACATCAAAAAGCATGATCAGAGTGGCATTTATTTTACCAACAGCACCTATGAGTGCTTGGCGTAGTCAAAGCAAAGCTCTAACAAGCAACCCTAACCCTAATGGTTTGGATGTATAAAGGGGATGCAATTTGAAACGACATGCTTCGAATGCCTTCTTTGTGACATTACCTTCTACTTTGAGAACAGCTTTGCTCTCACAGACCCCGACCTGACAGCGATACTCTCCAGAGTCCTCTGCACTCAAAGCTTGTATGATCAGCTGCACATTGGCGTCCTTTTGCTTCATGCTGTATTTGCTAGAAGCCTCCAAAGCGGTTTGACCCTTAAGCCACCGTACTTCTTTTGGTGTGGCAGAGAACTTGCAGCATAGCGTGGTGGAAGTCTTCTCCTTGGCTGACACATCTTTAAGAGGCTCTAGGACTTCAATGGGACGCTCTGTGGAGTGATATGAAACAAACACAAACTTGCACAAAACTACAACAAACATCACATTTCATCTGTAGTAAACATAAATGGAGCAAAATACACCTTTTTTCAAAGCACTCAATTTCTGTAGGAATTTTATCATGCATCATCAAAAACTATTCAATTAGAATTATTAGATACAGATAAGATTTCTTTTGGAGTGGCTTTTTGCAAATCTCGGTTAAACCAAGTGTCTAACCTTTCACTTTGAGCTCAGCTGTTGATTTGCTCTTTCCGGCAGTGAACTGTACTGGGCCTGACATGGAGGCCTTGGTCTTCTTAAAAGTGAGTCGGTGCATGGTTCCCTCTTTCTCCATCTCGATATCTGCACTCTCCTTCAGCTGTTCCCCATTTAGCGTCCATTTCACTGGCTTGACTGTCTCCACGCTGACTTCCACCTCAAAGTGGGCAGCAAACGGCTCGGTCACCTCCAAAGAACTCAGCTCCCGTACTATGCTGATAGCCTGCTCTGAAGGTTGTGATGAGACAGTATAGCGCTGTGTCAAGAATTGGCTATATCAAAAATGTTTATGTAGTACAATTCTTTAAAAACACTTAAGACTTAAGAAGACATACTAATGAAACTGCATGGAAATAAAACAAAATGCATGGAAAGTAAATTCACATAACAGTAATTTAAATTGTAAGCAAGCATAAATTCATCCCTGTTTGAAAGGGGAAATTAATGAGATAAATAAGATTTTTAAATATGGTTAAAATCGCATACAACGCTCATTCTTGTCTGTTGCAGATCAATCAAAAACTGATCTACAAACTGTTATCAAATAATTAACAACATGCAATCACATTTTCTACACCCTTTTTACAGTCAATTTCAAACGTGTTTAAGTTTGTTATGTATGGTTGTGCTTTATGAATTCTGCTGTGATTTCATCCTAAAATTTTATTTTATTCTTTAAATCACAATGGAAATGGTTTTTACCCTCTACTAGTAGCTGACATGAAGTCTTATCATCAATGGCGTCACACACGTATGTATCCTCATCATCAGAGTCCACGTCGATGACGGTGAGCTTCCTGTAGATGTCCTCACTGGTGATCTCGTGCTTCTTGCTGGGTTTGATCTCTGACTTGTTCTTGTACCACGTGACTTTAGCGTTGGCCCGTGACACCTGACATTCTAAGTATGCGCGGTGTTTGTACATGGCGATTTTGTCTCTCAGTTTCTTCACAAATCTGACAGGCAGTTCTGTAATGATTATAAGGGAGCTCAGGGGATCTACAGATTTGTTAGACAACCTTAGAAATGCTACACAGCCCAGGCTGTAGTTCATTAGTCTTAACACTAAATGCAAAATGCATGCAGATATGACAGACATGACAACAAACCTTTAACCTCCAGTTTAGCAGCTGAAGAGGCCTTCTCAGCTGTGAACTTTATTTCACCTGCGTCCTCAGCCTTAACAGATTTGAAGAGTAGAATGTATGTTCTTCCTAAGACAGAGAATTTTAAATGAGTTTAAGAACCATTAATCTGTCCCTCTTGGAGCTGATTTTTTTGTTGTTG